ATATATATTGCAGTCCAAATGCTCTAGCCACCAACATGGGGTTTAGGGATCATGGCCCTATAATTTCAACCCCAAGAAGTGGGACCTCAGCTACCTGGTTGGGATCTGGCCAGTGGTGATGACGGATCACATCAAATTTCACCCGTTATGCATGATTTAGGTTCCGGGTGAAGAGCATACCCATTCTGGATGTAGTGCAGTTCCCCCACTAGGTTACTAATCTTCTATTTCTTTTGGCATGCCCACAATCTATACAGATGTATTCTGTATTGATAATGCCCTCACTGGTCCCTGCACCTGATCAATGTAGGATTCTAGCTGTAGTGTGAGTGGAGATAAGTGTTTTGTAATTTAGCATTTTTTTAAATTGAAAATGTATTTCCAGTAATTCTTACCTTCTTTCACACTCACCAGCCCTTCCTCCCAACTAAGAACCAGTGTTAGAGACTGTGAATTTGTCCAGTTTCGAAAAAGTGACAACATTATCTGAAGGAACTGCTTATATACAGTACAAGGATAGAGGGCACACTGACGTATGTGGTGAGTGTCATGAGACAGATATTGCTAAGGGCAAATAAGTGGGGAATAAAAGACTGGAGCAAGAGTGAAAAAAATCATACCAAATCTTAGATGGGCCAAAGAAAAGAAATCCTAACAGTTGAGTAATAGCTGTAGTATGAGCAGAGGTAAGTATTGTTGGAAATACATTTTCCAGTTAAGAAAATGATAACATTTACTGCTTCCACCAGATTCCAAAGGCTTAATTACACTATTAGAAAACTAAAATTGTATTATCTTTCGACAACTTCTACCTTGCCAAAACTTACATTTCTGCCCTTTAGTCTTGTATTCTCACTATTTAGTACAAAAGGAAAGATGATGCATCAAGATTATCAATTCCCTCAATAATCTCATACACCTCTATCACTATTATTTTCTGAAGATAAAATTTCAGAGATCTTAATTTGTCATCATATGACAGTCTTTTCATCCCATGTATGATCGTAGTAGCCCTACTCGGAACCCTTTCCAGCAATTCAGTGTTCCTTCTAAGGTAAGAAACTGTAACTAAACACAATACTCCAAATGTGACCTAACCAGTGATTTATACAAATGAAAGTATATCCTCTTTCAACTTGTATTCAATATTTCTATAGATATAATGTAAAATCCTATTTGCCCTACCACTAGCAACAGCACACTGCTTGGATGGATTTAGAGACTGATTACACTACTCTTCATAACACTATTAAGGTTATTCCTATCTAAATTATACTTATAATTCAAATTATGATAACCCACATGCATTATCTTGCCTTTATTATAGTTAAAACCCATCTGGCATTTATTTGCCCAACTCACTAAATGATCTAAATCCTTTTGTAAATCAGCAGGATCCTCTTCACAGTTAGCAACACCCAAGACCTTAACATCATCTGCAAATTTAAGTAATTTATTGACTATTCTTTCATTTATATCATTGATGTAAATCAAAAAGAGCAAAGGTCCTAAGACTAAGCCCTGAGGTACCCCACTTGTGACATTAATCCAGTTTTACTGAATTCCGTTTGTAACAACCTTCTGCTTTCTTCCATTCAGCCACTCTTCTATCCAATTAGCTAACTTATCCCCCACACCTATAGAGATAATTTCTTTTACAAGCCTTTTATGTGGCACCTTTTCAAATACTTTCTGAAAATCCAGATACAACAAATCTACACCCTCAACCTCATCTACATAAGCAGTAATCTTTTCAAAGAATGTCGAAAGATTTGTAAGGCAAGATTTTTCCTTAATGAAACCATGTTGATTATAAAATAAAGTTCTAAACTTTGTTAAATTACTTTGCCAAGCATCTTTGAACAGACTTTCCAAAACTTTTCCCACAACTGATGTAAGACTAATGGGTATATAATTAGTGGGACACATTTTATCACCTCCCTTGAAAAGAGGAGTGATATTAGCTAACTTCCATTCCTCTGGTACCTGCCCACTATTCAAGAACTGACAAACAAAATAGTAGTAAGTGGCTCACATATCCAATCTTTAATTTCCTTCAAAACCCTTGGGGAAATATTATCTGGCCCAGGAGCCTTATCTTTTTAAACTTCCTCCCAATTTTTCTTAACCAGCTCAGAATTAATGCAGTCATCTTGTTTGATCTTGTATCCATTTATCAACTGTTCAAGATGTGGAGTAATGCTTAAATCTTTGTTAATAAAAACCAAAGAAAAAGCAAAATTTAATAACTCAGCCATCTCATAATCATCAGATACTAGCCTCTCCTTTATCATTCCTCAAGGGA